TTTTCACCAGAGCTGGAAGTAGGAAGGATGTTTTCAAAACTGTTATTTGTAGAAGAATTTTGGATTAGCTCATGATTCATATGCAAGGAATTCTCAGCATTATCCGTTAAGGTGATATTTCCTCTAGGGGCCAAATGTTTAATCGAAACAGTCGATTCGTTTCCATTATTATTTCGGATTAAAGCGTAATTTGGATTAACCTCTATGACTTTAACTTCTTCGACTAACGGATCGTTTTTACTTTGCCGAATATGCTTCTTTATTAAGACGATTTTTGAAGGGCACAACCATGTAGGAAGGGAAGTTCTTTGAGATGACGCCGTTCATGTTTAAACATACGTCCATGGGGTGTACAATTAGTTGAAGTACATAATAAGGATCTGATAGAATGAAGAACATCAGGTAAGACCATTTCCCATTGAGTTTGCTGCAAATTTCTAGTTTTTAATGACAAATTAATACTTTTCCATATGATTCCGTTATAGCGTTCAACTTGTCCATTACCTTCTGGGTTATACGCAGTAGTTCTACTCACAGCTATATTAAGGGAATGAAGAAAGTCAACAAACTTCTTGGAAGTGAATAAAGAACCACGTTCAGAATGAATATATGAGGGTAATCCAAAGATAGAAAATAGTTGACTGAGACAATTTATAATAGTAGATGAATGCAAATTAAAACAAGGAAAAGCAAATGGGAAACGTAAATATTCATCAACCACTGTTTTCTAAATGCGAGTTCCATGTTAACTTGCTGTCAAAGGTGAGACCTAGGTACTTTACCTCTGTTGCAAAGTTTAGTTTTATGTTTAGGAGTTCTAGAGGTTTTCTTGTGAAAACGACCATTTCTGTCTTCTTAGGATTGATAGACAATGAATGGTTCTTGCACCATTTTTCTATAATTTTTAGAGCTACTTGCATTCTTTCGCAGAGTATACTCTCAAAATTTCCTGTTTGTAGAATGACCAGGTCATCTGCACATGCTATTGTGTAGTGACTGTCATTATTGAAGCGGCTAATAAGGGTGTCAAAGACCATATTCCACAGTAGAGGTGATAGCACCCTCCCTGTGGACATCCCCTCGCACCCAAGCCTCTTATATTCACTTCTTCTACACTATTCCTCGCTTTGAAAGCATCTTATGTATCCACCCAGTAACCATTTGTGTAACATTCCTGTTGGTTAGTGAGTGTATTATCTTTGGGAAGGTGGTTTTTATCAGAAGCATCTTCTATAATAATAATAATAATATTTATTCAAGAAAAATAACACAAGTTACAAGGTAACAGAACAACAATTTCAAATAAATAAATATTGATACTCAATAAGTGCCAACAAGGCACTTGTTTTGAGAACAAATATAAATATAAAAAATAAACAAATTTATACATATAAAATAAAATTAATGCATTACAGGAAAAAAAATATATATATACATTTTAGAAAATATTTTATATAGGAGACAAACACAATCAAAATACCTACACTTAATTAAAAAGATATCGAAACTTTGACCATACAAAACGCAAATAAATATCAGTTAATTAAAAGAATATTATTTATTACCTCCATTTTCTCATTTTTGATAAATTTTTTTAAATTATTTTTAAATATGGACAGGGTATTACATTTTATGTCAACTGGAAGAGTATTATATAATTTTGGACCTAGATACAAATACGATCGTTGTCTTACTGATTTTTGAGTACGAGGCACAGTATGGAGATGTTTTTTTCTTGTGCTATATGGATGATCTGGTAAGTTGAATAGTTGTTTATTTGTCTGAAATTTAATATTAATATTATAATAAAAAAATTGTTTTAGATTCATACCATTTGCCTCAACAAACAATGAGTTAGAAGGATACCTGTAGGGCCTTTTGAGCATTATTTTTAAAAATCTTTTTTGCAGAACTTCAAGTGGTTGTAAATGTGTTTGTAAAGTACAACCCCACACAATGATGGCATATCTCAAATGACTTTCTACTAAGCTATGGTACAATATTTTAAGTTGATGTGGTTGTAGATAATCTCTTATATTTTTAAATTTATATATTATCATTCTTAATTTTTGGCATGTAAAAGTTATGTGTTCTTTCCATTTGAGATATGAATCCATGTAAACCCCTAGATATTTTATCTTGTTTTCAGGGAGAATGGTAAGTGTTTGCCCAGAAGCAGTAAAAGTTACTTTGTCAAATGGAGGTCTTGTTATAATATTATTACTGAATGGTACGTAGTGGGTTTTATCTACATTTAATGTCAGTAACTTACTGTCAAACCAGTTTTTCAGATTTGGGAGGTCCTGTTCAACTTTTTGCTTTAGTTCTAGCCATGAATTAGCTTTATAAAATATTGAGGTGTCGTCTGCGAATCCCAAAACTTCCCCTGAACTCTCGATAGAAAATAATCCGTTGATGTAAAGATTAAATAGAATAGGACCGAGTACCGTACCTTGTGGGATACCGTAAGTTATGGATTCTAGATCACTGTAGACACCATGTACTCTTGTAACTTGTTGTCGGTTTGTAAGGTAACTTTCAAATAATTTTAGTGATGTGTCCCTTATACCTGCTTCTTCTAAAGTATCCAAAAGTAAACGGTGGCTGACAATATCAAATGCTTTCGAGAGATCTAGATATACACAGAGACATGGACTGCTTTCATCTAGAGCAGTTAGTATTTTGGTAGATAGTGCGATAATAGCATCTTCCGTAGAGACATGTTTTTTAAAACCATATTGTTTATCAGATATTATATCATATTTTGATGTGAAATTTACTAATCTATTTTTAAGAGCTTTTTCAAAAATCTTTGATAAATGTGTTATTAATGAAATTGGTCTATAATTTGTTGCCACTGTGTCATCTCCTTTTTTATATATGGGGACAACAAATGTCTGTTTAAATATATTAGGCCATACGCCAGTATCAAAAGTCAGGTTTATCAAATGATTGAGTGGTGTTACAATAAATTTAGATATATCTTTTAATATTTCGGCCTTAATATTGTCGATACCAGGACTTTTATTAGATTTTAACTCGTTAATAATAGTTTCAATTTCTCGTTCGGAAGTTGGAAATAGAACGAAAGAATTGCAAAGAATATTACGGGTGCTCGATAGGTTGGATTTGGCTTAATATTTTTAGCCAGTTCTTTTCCAACATTTATATAGGTTTTATTAAAAATATTTGCAATTTCTTTGAATGTATTTATTGTTTCCCCTTCCGAGTTTTTTATTGAATTTATATATTTTTTTGTTTCTCTATTGGAGTTCATTTATTACTTTCCAAAGTTGTTGGGGGTTACAGGAGTTGTTTTCAATATTTTTGTTAATAAGGCTTTTATAATAGGTATTTTTCGCAGTTTTTATAGAATTAGTTACTTTGTTTTTATATGTTTTATATTGTTGTTTAATTTCTAGGTTATTCGGGTTTTTTAATGTTTGTTGAAAAAGTGCATTCTTCTTATTTATCTTTTTTAGCAGCTGGTTTGTAATCCAGGGACAGATTTTATGTGTTTTTCTTTTTAATTTTATTTCTTTTGTGCTATCTTTTACAAAATTAGATAATAAACTGACGAATGTATTTGTTGCAGAATCGACTTCCCTAGTAGCCAATAGATCATCCCAGGATACACTAGTTAAAAGATTTTTTTAGTATTTTCTGATCAACGAATTTTTTAAATCTTGCCGATTTATTTTTTTTTTTAAGATTTTATTGTAGGTTTAAGAATAAATTGTAAAGCTGTTATATAGTGATCTGTTATATCTGTTCGTACAACAAAGGGCATTATTTTATCAGTAATATTGTAATTAGATTTAATAAAAATATGATCAATACAAGATTTTGTGTTTTCTGTAACCCTTGTTGGACTATTTATTGTAGATATGTAACCGAATTCATTTAAAACATTGAGATATTCGTTAGAATATTCTTCGTGCTTCAGAATGTCGATATTCATGTCTCCAATAATTATTGAATATGCCGCATTCGAGTGATCGTAGTTTTGAAAATAATTTTGTAAATTATCTGTAAATTCATTCGGATCAACTGAAGGTGAACGATATATAGCAGTAATGGCAATTTTATCGCTATTATTTAGTGTTAAAAGAAGTTCTATTGCATCTGTGTTGTAGATAGTTGAAAGTCTGTAGTTGTATTTATGGTTTGATTTTATGTAAATACCTACCCCATCATTTTGGTTAAAATTACCTTCATTGTATAAAAAGTCATAGCCTACTATATTATAGAGTTCTGGTTGAGGTAGATTCCAGGTCTCTGTTACTACAATACAGTCTATATTTGTATCTAGGTCCTCTAGGAATGCTTTAAATTCATCTATATTTTTGTTAAGTCTTCTAATGTTTGTATGGCATAATTTAAAGTTGTCGATATGGTTAATTACCTCAAAAATTTCTTTTAATTCTTTTGCATTTTCTAATGTAAACGTTTCGATTGTATCTATTTCAAAATCACGAACATACTGTTCCATATCTGATTAAAAAGTAACTACTTATAATCTAAAATATAATAATTTAAAGCCTACAATTAAGAATACTGGTAAGTTTATTTTTAGTCGTATTTCACAATATTGGAAGAAGATTGATCAAATAACTAATTTATTTGTAAATAAAAGTAATATCACTTTAAATTGTGTGCTAAAATTTGATTTTATTATCCTAATTGGCAAAACAGATAAAAGAAGCAGAACAATGTATGTTCTACAAGTTAAAAACTAAATAGATAAAATTAAATTTATTTATAGTACAGGAAATATTATTTAAAAAAATTTTAACAACAGTAGTCTACTTTGTAGAATTTTTCCGAGTTAATCGGGTTTCTATTTGTTGTTGAGGTTTTTTCCCTGTAGGAGGGGTGTTTTCAACAGGTTTGGTTAAAATTGAATTTTTTGTGGTTTTTCCTTGTAAAGTTGAAGCTGAACCTTTAGAAAATTTGGTTTGAGAGGATCCACTACTAGCTTTAGTATTTGTTTTAATTACCGTTGTTTGTTTGTCGTCTTCTTCTTCTTCTTCTTCTTCTTCTACTTGTTTTACGTCTTCTTCTTCTTCTCCTATTTCTTTTTCGTCTACTCTAATTGTTGGTGTAGGTGGAGCAGAATTATATTTTTGCGGAAGGTCAATTTCAAACTCAGTTGCTGATTCTTCGTTAGAGGTACTTTCTAGATCTTCAGCTGTGTATGGGACTTCATCTACGTAGAGTTTGAAATTTTTAATATAAGCTTTATGTTGTTTACTCCTCGCTTTTTAAGATTTTTAACTAAAATTTTATTAGTTGCTTGATCCTCTGGTCGTAGGTCGTTTGAAATAGATATTCCGCTACCTTTAAGCTTTTTTAGATTCTGAATAATTTTCTGTTTGGTTAAGAAAGTGACAAATTCAAGGATTACAGTTCCCTTATTTCCAATAATATATATATTGTTTATATCTCTTTCTACTAAGTCGCAGCCAAAAATTTGGTTTAATTTTTCAATTGTTGTATTTAACAGATTATTCTTATTGGCTTGTATTCCGAATATTACAATATTGTTCCTTTTATTTGATCTTTCTATGTACGTAAGTCTCTTTTCGATTTTTAAGCAGCGCTCTTCAATAACTTTTATTTGTATATTTACATTAGTATTTAAACTTTGTATATCTTTCCTTATTTCAGATGAATTTTTATTTATTAGATCTTCTAATTTCTCTAACAAATCTTTATTTGATGGTTGGCTCATATTTGCAATATTTGGCACTTGTTGACTGGATTATAAGTTCTATAGCGAAAAAGTATCTTATATTCAGTGTTTAGAATTTAATATTTACAGAATGTTTGCATAATTTCCTTTTTAGTTTGGTTTTCGTTCATAAATTATAAGCTTATTGAATTGCGCTTAAATTTCTGCTTAGATAGATATATATTTTCATATAGAAACTACAGTATTTACCTTATTATTCGTATATATTGTCACAGTGGCACAGAAACACGTTTACCTCGTACGACAAACTATTAATAATGTCTATGAAAACACCCAAGGCCAGCAACTAGATGAAGGGGTAAATCAGTAGATCTGCCTGGAGTGTATGCATGTTGGTTTGGGTGTAGTGGTGTTCTTGTAATTACCGCATCCCTTATTTACCTTTCGCATAGCCTTTTCAATGTCTTCATGGAAAACGATGTCAGACTAATTGATCGGTATTTTTTTGGGACAGTCCATCTTTCCAGGTTTGGGAATGAATACCACTTTTAACTTTCTCCATTTTAGGGGGATATACCTCAGAGCCAACGAGGATCTGAATATACTCACCAGGTGTTGTATGAGTTCTTCCAGACCCCACTGAAGTAGGACTGGATAGATACCGTCACGTCCTGGCGATTTAAATGGAGAGAAGCTGGAATTGCCCATCTAATTTTTTTATCGTCTACAATGTGTTTGGCAGTTTGCCAATCATAGACAGATAGATTGTATTCTTCCTCTGCCCAGTCCGCCACGTCTGTGATGACCGAGTCAGTGAAGTGTGTTGACAGCAGAAGTTTGATGCTATCTTCGAGGTTGGCAGTTTTTGTGCCATCCTCTTTGATTAGCGCACGCGAATGCTTCGGTGTGGATCTTTTGAGAGAGCTTTTTGAAGCCTTGCTGCTTGCGGGAAATCTTCAATTTCTTCGCAGTAGGATCTCCATGCATCTTTCTGTTTTTGTCTGACGATTTTTTTGTATTATCTGAGGTGAGATTAGTAAGTATCCCAGTCCTCTTTGAGTTTTGTGGTTCTTGCCTTATTAAGAGATTTCCTAGCTATCTTCCTGAGCTGATCCAACTAGTGACACCACTATGCGGTAGTCGTCTGATCGTGTTGGACCAGCCTCTGAGGACGGGATTTCTTATAGGCATTGTTTATTGTGCTTTGGATAGTGTTTGAGTACTTTTATAAAGCAGTTGTTTGGTGTTTCGGCCTCCATCTGACTCAGAGCCTCTTGGAGAAGGTTAACATAGGTTGCTCTGTTCATCTTCCTAGGGTTTCGAGATAGCGTGGAGGTCGGCAACATCAAGTTTATTTTGAATGTTAACCAGCGGTGGTCTGACATCGAAATGTTATCAGACACTTGCCAGTTTAGAATTTATTTATAGATACCAGTTGTGGATAAAGTGATATCTATTAGTGTTTGACTGCGAGAGTTTAAAAATGTTGGTGTGGTACCTTTATTTAAAATACAAAGATTTTTGCTAATTATATAATCATAAAGTGACTTACCTCTAGCGTTGTTATACTTACTGCCCCAACTGAAGTGATGAGCGTTTGAGTCGTAACCTGTTACCAGCTCAAATTTCTGTTCCAGGCAGTATTCAATCAGATTCTCCATCTCTTTGCTGGGTAGTGGCGTGGTTGCGTCAGAGGGGAGGTGCAGATGCCAGGATTAACGTTCTCTTTTCCCTTTTAATGGCGTATTCCGTCCTAACCGCAGTTTAATCGGAGGTGGAAAGGTGTGCCATTAAGTGGGCTTTGTATTTCCTAGGAATGTAAATAGCTGTCCTAGGTTGCTGGTTGCTGGGAAAGCTAAAAATTGAACCGTTTAGATTTGTAAGACCTAAAATTTTGGTTTTTATTATCCAGTGTTTCTGGATTAGTACTATTGTATCTTGCAGCTCATCAAGGCGGCGGCATAATTTTGCCGTAGCCACCCTTTTGTGCTGCAAGTTACATTGTATAATCGTTACCTCTTTTATTGCTTCCCGGTCCTCCGTTGAAAATTAGGCAGCAAGATTGTTATTTATTCGACCATCCCTTCCTCCGAAAGTGGGAAGGGGGTGGTTTCTTTTGGCTCCTCGGAGTTTTCTTGCTAGAGGTCATCGATTGCCATTTTGTCTGGCTCAACGTCCCCCACTGTTGGCTTAAATTGGGTAGAAAGAGGGTCTTTTACCAAGGAGTCTTCACTGGGCCTCTTTTTTGACCTTTGGCCTTATAATCAATAAGGTGAACACATAGCTCATCCTCATTGATTTGGCCTTTAGGGTTTCCATGTCTTCGTCTCCGATGCCGAAGACTAAGAGATGGCCCTTAGGGTCTTTTTTGATTTCATGGTGGAAGGTGCACCATTTCGCCACATGCAAGTTTGGGTTTTGCCCCTCAAGTTGCCTGAACACAACCTCTTTCTCGTCAGGGTCAGCTTGCGCTTCCCCTGGGATCCAGAGAGAGGCTTTGGTGAGCTTGGGGAGCTCGTCCATCCTTACAACTGCGAGTGTTGCTTCTTCCCATGTTTTTAAGGTTGGTACCTTAGTTTTTAACCATTCCAACGTCTGATCATCGTCGCAGGTTACTCTGATGATTTCACCAGAGTGCGACTAAGACCTGAATGTGGGTGGCTTAGTTTTGCTGCAGTAGGCGGACAAGATTGTTTTGTCCAGCTCTCCTATGAGTGTCTTTTTGACAAGGATTTCTATTTCCGTAGTTATTTTACCGTAAGGGTTATCCTTGTCTATTATAGCTACTTTCAGGTGGCTTGTAGCTGCATCCTTGTAGCTTATCGCCCTATCTGGGTTTTCTCCCTTTCCGGGGCGTTACCTCGGAAGAGGTGTGAGATCGCAGCCTTTTCTTGTTCCTAGTTGTGTCGTGTTCCTAGCCTCTTGTGGAGGCAGAACTAGCGTCGCTGTCTAGGGACTTGATTAGGCCGCTTTTGTTTTGTTTGAAGTGAGAGGGTTTGCTGAGGGTAGCGGTTGTCGTAGCACTGCCTGCCTGCGTCTTTGCTTTTACAGGTGTACCTTTTCAGGCCCTCCAGAAAATTCTTGGTGGATACGAAACCACACCGGTTCTTGACAGAGTGTTATTTCCAAACTATGCCTGCAATCGTTGCAAAATTTCGGTTGATGTTATGCTCTCCTTTGCCAAAAACTTTGTTATAATCCCTTGCTCCACGAACACATGCACTTCTTTCTCGCTTGTGATTTCTTTGCATACCACAGAGACGCGAACGAATTTTGATCGGTTTTCTCCCCTCCCCAGAGGTAAAGTCTAACTGCCCATTAATTCTTTCTAGATCAATAACCGCTCAGGAATTTTTAATCCAAACAGTCCCGTTTATATTTAATATAACCTCGTATATAATGCATGTCATTCTAAATTATACTCTTAACAGTTTAACAAACTCCTTTTAACTCCCATTTTTAATCGGATTTTTTTTTAGAATCAATAGGCTTCATCCCCTTATTGAGCTTGATTTTTTCCAAAAATTTCTAGTTGATATTATTGTTCGTTTTTAAGTTAAATTTTTTTTAAATATTTTAAATTCTCTTAACCCTTCCCCACTTTTATTAAAAACATTTTCACATTCAATAGGCCTCACCTCCTTATAGAGCTTGATTTTTACTAAACATTTTATGTTGATTTCGCTTATCATTTTTTTAATTTCAACTCCCCTTAAACCCCCATTTTTAATTAGATTTTTTTTTTTTCAAAATCAAAGGGCGTCTTCTCCTTATAGAGCTTGATGTTTCCTAAAAATTACATGTTGATATCGCTTTTTGTTTTTCGTTTTTAGTTTTGGAATTTGTTTTTAATATCAACTTATCTTAACCCCCAATTTTTAAACGGATTTTTTTCGAAATCAATAGGCTTTGTCCCCTTATAGAGCTGTTTTTTTTGTTTAAAATTTTTAAGATGCTATTTTTCGTTTTGGACTTATTGTGCAGACAAAAACGTTGCATCGGACAAAGAAAAATATATAATACTCTTCACAGACTAATGCGTGAAGAGTATAATAATAATGTAATCAAGACTAAAACAATAACGTAATAGTGTTAGAGTCAGCTAATTAGGATATCTCCGCCACAGGGATTGATGGTACCACGTCTGCCCGTTGCAGTGTCCAGAAACAGAAGAGCGGGGACTTGACTTTTGACCAGCCGAACGCGATGAAGTGATAGGCCTTATGCCCTTTAAAGACATTCTTTATTTTGTTCCTTAATTAATTACATTTCAAACATTGTTTACGAGATATTTGATAAAACGTTATAAAACCATGTTAACACGTGTTTTATGAAGTGGCTATACAGGGTGATAAATAATTAAAAAACAATAATTTTGAAGTTAATTCTTTTAATTTCTAACAATAGACTAAAAAAAAAGGTAGAATAAAAAAGTGATAAATTTAAAGTTTTGAAAATTATATAATGGGTAATCAGTGCCTCGGAACTAAACTGCAGTCATTCTTGTTCACTTAATAGTAGAGCAGACAAAATGTTTGAACACTTTTTTGTGCTCCACATTTACATATATCAATTATATTTCGACAAGAAATGTAGTTAGCCCCAATTATTGTCACAATATGTATTGTTTACTAATAATCTAACTATTAAAACTTTTTTCAATGTACCTGACTTGTTACTTTTGGTAACATATTTATATGTTCAGATAACAATTTTTCTATGAAATAGTTCCAATATGCCTCTATAAATAGTACGACATAGTTCAGTTTACACTGATATCGCTAAATATTTAATTAAGTCTTCATGATATAGGTATATACCTTACTCAGACACAACTATTTAGTTTCTTGAATTAATTTAGCTAAGTGCAATATTTATTTTTTATATCGTCTTTAAAAAAACTGTAATAAAAGTTTAGTTTTAATTTTTTTTGTAAATGCATGCGACACTATTATTCGAGTTAAATGTTCACCGATACATCAGTCTGGCATGTTTTATCAGTACCTTTAGCATTTATAAATAGGACATATTTCTATAACTTTAAATTTATTAGGCACAACCTACAAAATAAAACAATTATTCATACAAAATTGTACTAGGGTCAAGAAATTATCCTTGTTCAAATAAAATATAATATAATAAAATTGTCATACTGGTGAAATACCTTCTGGTACAATGTACAATTATTTTTCTTGACTGGCATCTGCAATCTAAGATGTGTTTAAAGTTATTTAGTTTATATCATTGTAAGAGCCCATTCAGTTATAGCTTAATTTTGATGGTTCTCCTATAAAAGAGTAACGATGATATTGTATCCATTTACACGCAGTTTTCTGTTTTAGAATTGGGTATGAAACACATGACTATTTTGTAGAAACTGGAACAAAACAAAACAAAATATAAACATAAAGTCAAAAATAATAGTAAATGTTTAACCTGGAGCTTGGCGACATGTTTCGTTAACAGTCATTGAATTGACACACATACTTCCGATTTATTAAATTCGCAGTTTTATTAAGATATTTAAATAAAAACATTTAATTAAAAGTATCTTATGGCAAATTTTAGATTTTGACTGCTTAATTGGAAACAATAAGATAAAATATTGTAGAGAGGACATAAACACTATTTTACGATATGACAAGTGAACGCAGTTTGAGTCTTATTTTGATTAATTTGTCGTTAATAATTTTATATTTAACCCTGCTACTGCACACTGGGGTCTAGAAAACCCACGTGCACTTTATATTCTACCTTGTGCGCAGTGTTTCGATTGTGACCTTGGGCCAGTGCCATGTAAATTCAGTTAACAGTTGTATAAGATTAAGGCAGGACGCAAAACATTTTATCGCTTATAGCTAAGTGGTAAAATTTGATTTCAGCTGCTCCTGGGTTACTGAAACCCCAGTGTGTAGGATTAAGTTACATATTTTCTATTAAAAATTTTATTTTCTATTATTTTGTAGAAAGATGTCGAGGGCTAAAAGGAACAACAATCGTCCCGTAACAGATAAGGAACTGCAGGAGATTGTAGATAATCTTGGGAACAGTCCAGATCATGAAACTGGATATGAAATTGAAGAATTTTCGGATAGCGAAAACGATTATGAGACGGAGGAGGATGAGCAAGACGATGAACAAAGTGCTTGTGAAAGTGAACAGGGTGATGAAAATAACCAGAACAGTGACAATGAAAATGAAGAACACAGTAAAAAGGAAAGTAAACAAGCTGGTGAGAATAACAGTGAACAAGCTAGTGGAAATAACAGTGAACAAAACAATGCTTATGAGAATGAATAAAGCAATAAGCAAGAGAGGCCTCCAAGAGCGACGAGAAATAAAAGCGTTTTAAGAGGTTTTGCCCTTCAACTCGCCTAAGCGCAACCTCTTTTTCGTCAAAATCAGCTTGCGCTTCCCCTAGGATCCAGAGTGAGGCTTTGGTGAGCTTTCGGAGCTCGTCCATCCTTACAACTGCGAGTGTTGCTCCTTCCCATGTTTTTAAGGTTAGTACCTTGGTTTTTAGTGATTCCAACGTCAGGTCATCGTTGCAGGTTACTCTGATAATTTCACCACAGTTCGACCAAGATCTGAATGTGGGTGGCTTGGTTTTGCTGCAGGAGGCGGACCAGATTGTTTTGTCCAGCTCTCTCATCAGTGTCTTTTTGACAAGGTCTCTTTCAGTAGTTATCTTACCGTAAGGGTTATCTTTGTCTATTATAGCTACTTTTAGCTGCATCCTTGTAGCTTATCCCAGACAGAACTTTGTGGTCCTGTCTGGGTTTTTCACCTTCCAGGGCGTTACCTCTTTTCTTGTCCCTAGTTGCATCGTGTTCTAGCCTCTTGTGGAGACTAAACTAGCGTCGCTGTCTAGGGACTTGATTAGGCCTCTTTTGTTTTGTTTGGAGTGAGGGGGGTTTGCTGAGGGTGGCGTTTGCCGTAGCACTGCTTGCCTGCTGCTTATCTCTCTTTCTCCTATTTGCTTCAGACTCAGAGATTCTTTTGCCTCTCCAGGGCCTGTTAGTTGTAGGTGAACTACTGTGTCCATCCTCATTTTTTCCAAGGTTTATTTCGCATTTCTTATTCTCAAGGGTCCACAGACTTAGGTCCACTGATTGAGACTCAGCGCCTGAACGAAACCCAATGCCCGAACGAGTACCCACTGCCTGAAAGAGGGCCCACAGCTTGAACGAAGGCCTACCGGTCTTTTGCCGGTAGACCGACGGCCCAATCCGATACTGGACAGGACTAGTAATTAATAAATTAGGAGAAATTGTAAATAATCATTTCATATATTTTCAAAAACAATTTATACATTACTTATTTTCATTTCTCTTAAAAATAAATATAAACTGTCACTGTCACGACACTCATAACATTATTTTTAAAAAGACATGCGACATTACAATGTCGACTGGTTGAATACCACTCTACTTTATGTCTAACAACAAATGTAGAATTCGCCATTCCAGAATACGTTTTTGCGTTCTTATTCGACATTTCATCAATGTCGCGTGACATTTAGAAATAGACATTCGAGAATAGGGCCCCAGACCGATCAACTTGCTGCAATTAGAAAAATATGGAATGTATATATAAACAACTGCAAGGCATACTACACACCCTATGAATATTGCAAAATAGACGAACAACTGATGAGTTTTCGTGGCCGTTGTAGCTTCCGCATCTATATGGCCACCAAACCCGATAAATACGGCTTGAAAATACTAATGCTAAGTGATGCTAAGACCTATTACATGTTGAATGCTATTCCTTATGTGGGCAAAGTGAACTGCGAAAATAATGAAAGTGTGCCAACCTATTATGTTAGAAAATTGTCCGAACCCATACACAATACCAATCGCAACCTAACTTTTGATAATTGGTTCACTTCGATTCCATTGGCTAATCTTCTATCTGAGCAATATAAGTTAACAATGGTAGGAACTTTGCGGTAAAACAAAAGAGAAATTCCGCCTAGTTTCTTGGCAAAAAAGAAAGCAGGGTCGTCGTTATTTGCTTTCGATAAATGCAGATGACGCAAAATTTTACGGAAACCCCTTAGTAGACTACGATAATATTCAAGCTGACTTAAATTCAATAAGTGATTGGTGCTCGGACTGGCTTCTCCCGTTAAATATAAACAAGTGCGTGGTGTTACATATCGGCAAAAATAATCCACGTCTTGGTTACTCGCTCGGTAGCCATAATTTGGCGCAAGTGTCTTCGTATGTAGATTTAGGAGTTTTAGTGACGTCAGAACTAACATGGTCTGAACACATTCTAAAAACATGTAAACGTGCAAATTCGATGTTATATTTGCTTCAAAAGACTTTTGCAAAGCTATCCTTCCATACATACATCAAATTATTTAAGACTTATGTTCGACCTTTATTAGAATATGCAGGTGTAGTTTGGTGTCCGCTTCTTGTGCGAGACCAGAACCTTTTAGAAAATGTTCAACGCCGGGCTACCAGAATGACCTTTGGAGCAGTCCGACCATCATATGCAGAAAGACTACAATTGTCAAACTTGTCAACTTTTGCGAATCGTCGACTACGAGGGGACTTAATTCTTACTTTTAGAATACTTAAATATAATTACGGAAATCTTAGTGACATTTTTTTGTTAAATACTGACTCTCGTCTACGTGGTCATGAACTAAAATTAAAAAAGGAAAACCTAAAAACGAAGCACAGACAATCATTCCTTTCCAACCGGGTATTTAATGTATGGAACGACCTCAGCGACGAAGTTGTTGGTGCCATAACAGTTAACGTCTTTAAAAATAAGTTAGACGCGTGTTTGTTTAATTAACATTTTTATTCAATTTTTAGTGTTATTTTTGTTTCAGTGTGTTTACTTTGTTAGAATTTTTCTATTTTGTTTTTAGGCTATCATAGGACTTGTGTCCTCAGCCTTTATCAATGTATAATAATAATAATAATAATAACAAAACTCTGGTTTCCTTCACACCTAAGAAAAATAAAAACGTGCTTCTAATTTCCACCTTACGCCATGACGATTCCATTGATCACGATATAAATAAAACAACTATAATTGAGACAAACAACGCAACCAAAGGTGGTACAAAAGAATACCTACCCAAGAAGCGAAACTAAATGAGTTTTCGTATGTACCAAAGCAAGGGAACTTAATACACTGGGAAACGTATAAAAATTAATCAGTTTTTGTCGTTTGGTTCATAAGAATTAAACACATAGTAAAGTAACAATGACAGAAAAATCTTACTATGTTCATTATGTCAAATATATTATTTTAATAACGAAATAAGTACTGTAGGAAATAGTTACTACACAATAGCGCAAGTTGATAACGGTCATTCTGCAAATAGGCAATTTTGAGAACAATTATGGAACAGTGGTGCTAGGACCATTCACTGTCTATCAATCCGAAGAAGACAGAAATAATACTTTTCACAAGGAAATGATGAAAATGGAATTAAAACCTACATATCTTTTAAACACAAAACAATATTTTGCAACAGAGGTGAAGTACCTTTAGCAACAAGTTAACATGGAACTCACGATTAGAAAACAGAGTCAAAAGAGCATACATTACTTATGAACAATGCCACCAAACCGTGAGGTGCACCTCTGGTTTCTTTCCCAGAGTCGTCACATTGACTTACATGGCCATCATACGATCTATGCTTACATACGGTGCAGTTGTCTAAGGTATCGAAAATCCAAAAATTGACAGCTATCCGCAAAATAGAACAAATTTAAATAAGAGCATGTCTTAACATAACGGGAACTATGAAAACCACACCAACCAGAGCTATGGAAGTCGTTCTTAGTCTCACTCACCGTCATATTAACATCAAGGAGGTTGTTCTGATGACAATGACACGCTTATGCACGGTTGGAATAGAATCTGACATACGATCTGGTGAGGCGATTGAGGTGGCTCGTTTTTGGCAAAAGGCGCTCGATACGCTCCAACCGCTTCAAGCGAACATGAACCTTATCTCACCGAGTTATATCTTCCATAAGCCATATGAACAGAACAAATAGAAGAGTCGGAAGTGGCAGGTACGATACATATCTACACAGACGGTTCTAAAACAAAACAATGCCCAGGGTGTGGAATATACTCCAATTCCTTAAACCTCAACATAAACTGCGCAATAGTGCCAATGTAGTTCACGGAGCTCGCGAAAGTTCTCATAGCAGCAAAAGAAATCGCTGATATGAACATACTCATCCATACAGATAGCAGAAAAGCACTACTTACCCTGAATAGATTACGAATTTACTCACGGTAAGTACTAGAATGTCATGAAGCTTTGGCAAGGGTATCCATCCACGATGGAGCAAAGGTGACGCCACAACGAAAGGTAGCCTTGCTGATTCACTAGCCAAGATGGCGGCTAACCAAATACTTTTTGGACCTGGCCCTTCTATTGGACTGACAACATCGGTAGTGACAGACCTAAATAAAGAATATTCTTTTGTGAAGTTAAAGGAAAGATGGGATGAAAAAAGAATCTGCTGAGTTGCCAGGAAGATTTTAAGTTATCCTGACAATATTACAACAAATACTTGACTATGATTAGACAGAATCTGCGTCTGATCACAGGCATTCTGACTAGTCATTGACAAGTACGGAAGCATCTCCATATCATGGGACTGTCAGAATTCGCACCCTACAGGGGGCGCAAACAAAAAGATAAAACCATTTAACATATCCTCTACGATTGACAGTCGCTCTCATTTATTAGACGATTTGGTTTCGGCGAGTATTAGCTAACACCGACCGATATAAGAGAAGCACCTCTTGGCGACGTTGTCAACTACACTAAATGTGTAGGCTGGCTCATGAGATAGGAGGTGCCTATCATTTTCTGAGGATACACAATGGGCATAGTAAGGCCTAAGTGCCGTGGGGTAACTCACGCTCTACACGTTACATATCCAGAAGTACTGTAGGTAGCTGTAAATGCATTTCGATTGCATCCTGATAGCAACGACTTGGTTTCTTGAAGTGAGTTTATCATATCTTTTGATTATTGTTTTGTATTATTGTTTATTTACTTTTTTAATTTGAATGGTTTGAAAAACAAAAAAAAAATAACATTTAAATAAAAGAGTAAGAAATTAAACGATGCATAATACGTAGGCGTAAATTATCATTATAGGTAATACTGATTTAGAAATTAAAACAAAACATTGACAGCCAGATGCAAGAACGTTCAATAAAATTTACGAATAACGCAATGTATTTTTTTTTTTCTTGTAATTTAAATTTTAAAACTATCTAATTTCTAATTACTATATACT